GCCAGTGGACCCGAGTTTTAGGGTCCTTTTGAAAGCGTGTTCCCCCAGTGCTCACAACCAAGCTGGCACCACCATTTTCTGGAGGATGGGTGCTGGTCACCTCTGGGGACCACATAAAATGAGGTATTTGGAGTTGAAACCCTGAGCCCAGGCCTGGGCTGTGGGCACAACCCCAAGGCCAAAGCAAGACCCATGAATGACCTGCCACGGCCGGCTGGCCCTCCTGCTCAGCATCCTTACCCCCCAGGTGACAGCTGAGGACATGGATCATATGGACAATTCCCCTGTTCATCTGACCTAGGGGACACCCCGTGCTAGCCCTTTTGGGGCCCTTTCCTCAAGACATTTTCTTTACGCTCGTGGAAAATTGGTATAATAAGTACACAAATATGTGAGCTCGAGGGTGTGCATGGCGCCCCTTTGATGGGGCTCCTCCAAGCACCACAGAAGCTGCCCAGCCCTGCACATGGCACTGACCCTGTGCTCCGACCAATGAACTGAGTCTGCAGTCTGGGATGTCAGCCAGGCCCATTCCAGTGCAGAGGCCCCTCGGGGGCTGGTCCTTCTACAGACCAGGTCTGCAGCTTCAGCTGCTCTCGACAAGAGGGCTGGGGAGCCTCTGGGTAATGAGGCAAAATGGCCAGGCATTGACTACAGAATGGGGGGAAGCTTCCCCATAAAAATGAACATTTAATTAAAAATTAGCAGAATGTTAGATTAAATATCACCAACTTACATCTACATATTATTTGGTGAGAGTCATTGAGACAAAATGCAGTGTCCTGAAGGTGTGCAGATTCTAATTTCCCTGCTAAGGGTGCTGCTTCATGTGCATATAATGATTATGTTCTACCACCTCTGCCTTAACTGTCCCTCACTTGCAGAGGGTCTGGGCCACTCATGCTGAGGTTCCTGAGGGGCTTGGGAGTTTCGCAGCCCCCTCCCTTCTGCCTGCGCTTCCCAGCAGGAGGTTCAAGCTTCCTAGGCTCTCTATAGAATCCCAGGAGAACATAGCAGCTGGGCTCCGAGGGAAGGATTTTGGGAGTACATGGGGCATGGGGGAAGACAGAAGGAGAAACTAGACCCTGGTGTCAGGATTGCGGTGGACAGAGGCGCCCTGGGAGGAGAGGAAGTGCGGTGCACACCTGAGCGTCCTCTGCCACCTTCTCTATGACAGAGAGTGGAGGGGACGCAGCGAGGGGGTATTCCCAGGATGGGGAGACATACGTGTCTTCGTAGTAGTAGAGAAAGCAACCAGGAGAGAGGGGAGGGTTAAAAGCAAGGCCAGAGGGTGGGGTGGAGGTGCGGGTGGGGGGTGGGCCTTCAACAGGAGGCAGCCCCACCCCCGAGACTGGGTAAGGAGAAGAAATATTGGGAAGAACATTTAACGAGGTGAGCAGTGCTCCTGACGCAGTGTGAACCGACAAGAGCACACGCGACTCTACGATCAGTACAAACGTCTGTGTGCACGAACACACTCGCATGTTTCTGTATAGAGATGGGGGGCGGGGGAAGGACGCAGGGACACAGACGACACAAGAGTCACCCCAACTCTTGATGGGTGATTTAATTTTCTTCTTTAAAATTCTCTATATTTTCTAAAATTTTAATAGTGATTATGTGTGGCTTAAGAATTGGAAAAAATCCATAAATACTACTTAAAATTATGTTCTTTGGTGAATTATTTTCCTTTCTTGCCCAGAACATCTGTGCATATTGATTTCTTGTATGACGTGGAGAGAGAAGGGGAGTCCTGTGAAGTGGTGTTTACAGAATGACTTGTTTTGCATTAAGGGATTATGTTCTTTGGTGAATTATTTTCCTTTCTTGCCCAGAACATCTGTGCATATTGATTTCTTGTATGACATGGAGAGAGAAGGGGAGTCCTGTGAAGTGGTGTTTACAGAATGACTTGTTTTGCATTAAGGGGACCAGTGTCATTGGGGCTGTGCACCTCTGGACATACTGGTGCTCATCCTCCGCTCAGGGCCATCTGGGTCAAGGAAGGAAGGAGAAGCATTTGGCTTCCACATGCCCTCCAGGTGTTGGGGTAAATTGGAGTGGGCACTTACTGGGCAGTGGTGCCCGGCTCAAACTGCCTGAATGTCTGCCTGGGAGAAGCTGTGTCCTGGGCAGTGTGCCCAGGGGCATCACCTCCCACTGAGGGGGTGAAATGTAGGTAAGTTCTGAAGAACCACGTTGGGGAGCAGCAGGGAGAGCCTCCCCGCAACCCTGGGAAGGGCTGGAGGAGGAGGAAGCGAGTGGCAGGGACGTCCACCTGTACTGCTCTGAGCTGGAGCGGACAGCCACCAGGCTGAGCCAGGTCATCAGGGCTCCACTCCCAGCTCTAACCTTGCCAGGCTCACCAGGGGCAAAAAGAAAGTTAGCATTAAATCATCTCCAGAGGTTGATTCTCCTCTGTCAGGTCGAAGGAGAAGTTGGAAGGGCCATGGGGAGTGCCTGGGGCAGAAAAAAGATGAAATAATATACTCAGCTGTAAGCTTATGCCAAGCTTGACTATGACATGGAGATTTTATTAGCTGGCAGCAATGTGCAAGGCGAATTGGACAAAGGAAGTCATAATGTAAAGCATTATTGTTAACAATCCATAATTCTCATGAAAAATAAAATGATCCATATGACAACGATTGTGGAATTAGTAGGAGTTCTGTGTCCAGCCACTGGTTACTAGTCAGGATGACATGGCCTTTTAATATCAAAAGATCACTGACTGTATGGGCTGTGTACAAGGCACGGTAGCAGGCACAGAGAATACTCTAACGTGACAAGGCATGACATGACATGACAGCAGAATGCAACATAATAAAATATAATGCTATAAAAATAAAACTTAGTGACTGCCCTAGGTGTGCTCGTAGTTGATGGGTGAGCCATCACTAAAATGCCATAACAAAGCCCTGGAGAGCCCCAAGGAGGGGGAATTAACTTTGCCGGCAGGAGCAGGAGAGCACTGAAGAAGGGGCAGAGGACGAGGAACATTTCCACTTCCTGGAGAGCTCTGACCCGTCAGCCTCAAGCCCAGCTATCACCCCAGGAGACCTATTTAACAACCTTGGGCTGCAGAATCTTGGCTTTTACACTCAACAGTCTTGACAACCCTAATGCCACCCCCATGGCTCATGGCTGACATGTATCCCAAGCCACAGCGAAAACATGGATGCAAGATGCCCTGAGCAAGCTTCCCTGGAGCACCCTGGAGGATCTAGGAAAGCAGCTGGCTCCTCCCCAGCAAGTGCCAGGGCTCAGAGACCCAACCAGAGAAGCCCCAAGGGCTGCAGGAAACCACATGGTTACCAAATGTGGCCTGATGGAGAGGGACGGAACAGAGGTGCAGCCAAGCAGAAGGCAGCGCCATTACCAGGGTTACCCTTGGTGATCCTTGAAGCTGCAGTGGCTTCTATGAATGCATTATCTTTATTATTTAAAAAAGGATTTGTGTGTTCCTGTTGTGGGCTGTGTATCCACAGGTATTAATGGGATAGGTGGTGGGTGAAGGCTGTGACTGTTATTTTATACTGAGATGGTCCAGGCACTGACATAGGAATCGTATGATCCTGCTAAAGCCAGCATCACCCAGGCTCCAGCCGCAGTGCACCTGAAATGTCTGCTGGGCAGCTGCACCCTTAGACAACGAGCCCTGGCCATAGTGGACATTCCCAGCTCTGATCGCCTGTCCCAGGATGTCGGAGCCAAATGGGGATAAAAAAGGAGGGAGGGAGGAAGAGGCGGTAGCTTAAGGAGAGACAATGAAGCATGCTTTTCTTTTGGTATCTTGTTGAAAATATCGTGGTTTCTATACTGCAGCAGGACAAACGAACCACGACTTATCTTTCACAATTGCATACTGACTTCTTGTTAACTTGACAGTACCTTTAATATTTCTGTTTTGTGCTCCCTTTTCCCTTTTCTTACACTACCCTTATGGCCAGGTCGGTAACCTGTAGGCAAAATAGTAATTCTCATTCCAGGACATCATGTAGAGCCTCATAAGACCTGCCATCAGAGGCTTCCTCTCCAACAGGTGAGGAGTCAGCAGTTCAGAGAGGGACATTGCCACGCCTGGGGACACACAGCTAGCCAGTGCCAGAAGCAGCAGTCAGACACAGTTGTCCCAATGCATAGTTCAGGAGCCTCTGTGTTGCATCAGCCCTTTTGAAATCAAGATTTTGTTTAAATCTATAAATTTCTGGGTGGTATAGAGTGAAATTAAAAGATGATTTGCTATCGGTATAGCATAACTCCTTTGGTGTATCTGTTAGGGTAGGGGGAGTTTAGATGTTCCTTTCAGAGGCCTTTTATAACAAAGTCAGATTTGGTGATAATTTAATGGTATCCAATGAATCAGCATCTCCCAAGAAGCTTGGTTGGCCACTCCCCACCTTTTGGGGACTTTGGAACTAAGTGATGTTTTAGGATCACTGGGGACATCATGCTAACCAGCAGCAGCCATCTGACTGTGTACACTCCTGCTCTTGGTCTCTGTGACAGCTGCAGGATGGGTGGAAAACCAACTGACATCTTATTGGTGACAACTTGCAGCCTCAGCATCTAAACCTCACACTGGTAGTCAGCTCCTGGCTTTATCCAAAGTCTCTGGAAAATTTGCTAGATGCTGGTGCTAGAGCCATGATAACATGGGGAGAGAGGCAGGCTCGGTGGCAGGAGTACAGCCTCAGCATCTAAACCTCACACTGGTAGTCAGCTCCTGGCTTTATCCAAAGTCTCTGGAAAATTCGCTAGATGCTGGTGCTAGAGCCATGATAACATGGGGAGAGAGGCAGGCTCGGTGGCAGGAGTCTGCGGAATTAAGCTTGTTCCCTGCAAGGAAATTAGGCAGAATCAACTAAAGCCATGGGCAACTGAGGCAAAGGGAGAGTATTAATGCTGGATGATAGAAAGTCAGAAAGAAAGTGGACTAGCAGTTACAAGCAATAGCACTACCAAAAAAATCCCGCAACTGTAACTTGGGAAAGACAATAAGGAAATGAATGATGTTGCAAAAATATCTGAATTCCTCACCAAATGACTTTATTAAATCAGTCTTTAATGAGGCCATTGCAGGGAGGCAGAACGGACGGGCAGGAAGTGCTGATGGGTACAACTCTTGCTAAGAGGCCACCCTGACAACTAGGCGGGAATAAATCAGCAAGGGTGGATTCCATGTCTTCAGTTATTAAGGAATCAGCTAATGAATTTACCAAACTTTTGGCAGTTATTTTAAAGGCAAAGGGAATTAGGGAGGTGATGCATAGACAGGCTACTGATCTTTAAAGCGAAAGTTAAAGGAGGTCAGGGAACTGCGTGCTATCATTGCACGTCCCAGGCAGTGAGAGAAGTTTTGCATTTGGTGACTTCCAGGTTGAAACTAACTTTAAATGATGCAAAATGTTGGGAGATGTTTTAATGATCAGCTGCAGGCCAGAATATGGCCATTGTTAAGAATCCGAACCAGGCCAAAACTTGACAGTTTCACTCAAGGCAAGTGTCAATTTTCTGAGTCTATGTGGGCCAGCATAATCTGTAGGAAAGTTCCGCAGAGCAAAAGCATTCCAACACTCAAGAAAGACAGGAAAGATTAAAAAAAGACAACCTCAAACTCATGTTAGCAAACCCCAAACTCCATGTTCTCATTTAGTCCTACAGTCTGCCAAATACGCAACAGATCCAGTTTACAGATGAAAAAACAGAGGCTCCGAGAGGTAAGCGCTTTACCCAGAGGGACAAAACCCTCCTGGGCTGCCTCGATGTCATATTCTGGAGGGCAGAGAAGGAGACCGTGAGGAACCAGGGCTTGGGAGGCGGCTGGCCGAGGCTAGCGCAGAGGCGAGAGGAGGCTCCACTGTCCCCTGCCCCAACCTGTGTCTCGGCATCAGCAGGCCTAGGGGACGGGCCACAGTGGGCTGAGTGGAACCAGGGTCCCAGCCCGAGTGAGATCTGGGAGATGTTACCTTTTGTGCAGGTGGTGGGAGGAAGAGCAAGGTCTAGGCAGAGCTGGCCACCTGCTCCTCAGGCCTCCGAGGATGCGATGGGAGGGGAGGGGACCTAGACAGTGTCAGATATGGGGGCTCTCCTGGCCAGCCCCCACCACACAGCTCTGCACACAGTTCCAGTGAAACCACTCATCCTTCCTGGCTGCAGCTCCCAAGGCCAAGCCCTCACACTGACCCCGAGGGGCTGCACTGAGCTGCGGCTAAGATTTGTCCCCAAGTCCCACAGCCTGTCACTTCATTAACAAGGGGATTGGGGCGTTGAGAAGAGCCTGGGCCTGTGGTGAGGCCCCAAGGCAGGGCCGCTGTAGCCATCCAGGGCTCAAAGGGACTCTGTGTGTGGGTATGGGATGGGAGCAGTGAACAAAGTCCTACTGAATGTTCTATCTCTGATCTTGCCCTTTTAAGGCCCAGGTGGAGCTGGTGGGGTTGGAGTGGGAGGACCTATGGTTGAACCTCCTTCCTGTCTCAGGTGAGCTCATCCTCTCAGCTGCGTCCCTAACTGCTGCTCAGGGGGACAAAAGAAAATTCCAGTGGCAGCAGGCCAGGAAGGGCCCGGCAGGTCTTCATGTCAAAGGACTAGGAGTGCACCCCATGCTCTGGCCCCTCCATACTTGCGGGGGCGCCTCCCACTCAAAAGATTAAAGTCTGATAAAGATCTTTTAATGAAACACGGTGTTTGCAGAGCCTCATCGTGAAGGGATGATGGCAAGGCCTCATCGTGGGAGAAGACGCCGGCATTCCACCCTGATATTCTGGAGCTCTGTGTGCTTGTTATTTTATTCTTTGCTGCCGTGTCTCGGCATCAGCAGGCCTAGGGGACGGGCCACAGTGGGCTGAGTGGAACCAGGGTCCCAGCCCGAGTGAGATCTGGGAGATGTTACCTTTTGTGCAGGTGGTGGGAGGAAGAGCAAGGTCTAGGCAGAGCTGGCCACCTGCTCCTCAGGCCTCCGAGGATGCGATGGGAGGGGAGGGGACCTAGACAGTGTCAGATATGGGGGCTCTCCTGGCCAGCCCCCACCACACAGCTCTGCACACAGTTCCAGTGAAACCACTCATCCTTCCTGGCTGCAGCTCCCAAGGCCAAGCCCTCACACTGACCCCGAGGGGCTGCACCGAGCTGTGGCTAAGATTTGTCCCCAAGTCCCACAGCCTGTCACTTCATTAAGAAGGGGATGGGGGCGTTGAGAAGAGCCTGGGCCTGTGGTGAGGCCCCAAGGCAGGGCCACTGTAGCCATCCAGGGCTCAAAGGGACTCTGTGTGTTTGTATGGGATGGGAGCAGTGAACAAAGTCCTACTGAATGTTCTATCTCTGATCTTGCCCTTTTAAGGCCCACGTGGAGCTGGTGGGGTTGGAGTGGGAGGACCTATGGTTGAACCTCCTTCCTGTGTCAGGTGAGCTCATCCTCTCAGCTGCGTCCCTAACTGCTGCTCAGGGGGACAAAAGAAAATTCCAGTGGCAGCAGGCCAGGAAGGGCCTGGCAGGTCTTCATGTCAAAGGACTAGGAGTGCACCCCATGCTCCTCTCATTTGTGGTTGCAAGATGGCAAAGGGGCAGCACCCCCTAGCAACCACCTCTGCGGCTTGGCTGGACATGGTGAGATGCCCAAGGCTGTCCCACAGAAGGCTGTGAGCAGCTGCACAGGCCCAGGTCCCCCGAGGTGGCTCTGAGAACCCTGAAAACTGGGCTGAGATGGTGGCAGAGTTGCCAGTGTGGGCGCCCTTCCTGGTGCTGGTACTTTATGAAATCTCCAGGCCTACAATAACTTTTCAAACAGCTGTAACTTCCCCAAGCAGTGGTCATCCTTCTTGGAGATGACCCTGTGTCTTGGGCTCTCATCTCTCTGGGTCAGGTTTACTAGGAAGCCAGGACTTAGGAGGGCTGCTGCTGAGTGAAGGCTGCTCTGGCCACTGGCTGTGGGCAGAGGGCCACATGGTATTTACTTGATCCAGCCACCTGGGCCCCTGTCCCCCACCTTCCATCTCACTCCGCACACACTGGTGACTGAATGGAAGCAGAAATCTGCAGGGGGTGGCATCAAGGATTCTACAACCAGAGCTGCTCTGGCCGCTGGCTGTGGGCAGAGGGCCGCATGGCATTTACTTGATCCAGCCACCCGGGCCCCTGTCCCCCACCTTCCATCTCACTCCGCAAACACTGGTGACTGAATGGAAGCAGAAATCTGCAGGGGGTGGCATCAAGGATTCTACAACCAGTGGCGCCACAGGTGGGCCTACCTATGTGGTGGCAGATCCAGATCCAGATGGCGCGGACCCTTTCCAGGTCACTGTGGGCCTCCTGGAGCAGGTCACTCACCAGCTCGTCCAGGCCACTCTTGACTGTCACCTGGGGAGCAGGCAGGGTGTGCTGTATCAGGGCCTGGAGGAGGGCTGAGGGGAGCCCAGCCTTTCCTGGCTGTCCTGCGCCCTCCTGCTCTCCCCCCTTAAAATGCCCTCCTAGTCCTTCCCCAGCCCTGCCCATGCCTGGCCCCCCTTCCTGTGGGGCTCCCCTCTGCTCCCACTCCTCATCTCCCATCTGCTCCTTGACCCACCAGAGGCTGGCTGAGGCCTCCAGCCTTCTCCGAGCGGCCCCTCTGGAAGTAAGAAGCGCCCGATGCTGAAGCAGCAGAAATGCGTCTGTCCTAACCTCACTTAACCCGGCTGCAGGGCTCACACTGTTGACCGTGCCTGCCGCAGGAGCTCGTCCCTGGACCTTCCGGGACTCTGACCCTTCCTGGGCGTGCCCCAGCCTCTTTGGTGTCTCTAGGCTCTCTGGACTCCTCCTGCCCTCCCCAGTATGACACTCATCCTCTGGCTTCAGCACTGAACTAAATCTGATGACTCTCAATCAGCGTTTCCTGCCCAGTGGGCACTTTCAGTGGATGTGCCACACATACTAGAGCCCATCATGCCCCACACAAACTCATTCTCCCCCAAAACTTGCTTCTCCTCCCCTGCTCCTCATGGTGAGGCACTGCCCGCCCTCCATAACTCCGTCCCACCACCTGGGAGCCCCTCTCCCCACGTCCCACCCACTCCGCACACTGGTGATGGAGCTTCTTTCCTTCTGCCTCCAGCGCTGGCCTTTCTGCTCTACTCTGTCCTCGATGGCCCACTCAATCCAGGTCATATCTTTTGCTGGGACAGCTAGATGCCCCCAACTGATGTCCCTGACTCCAACCTGACTTTCTTGATCCATGCACTTGCCCACCCACTCATCATTTCTGCAAACAAGGTGCCCAAGTACCTACTATGTGCCAGCCACAGGGTGGTCTTTCTCATACTGCCCGAGGTCCTAGGATGGCTCACTCTGACTTTAAAAAGGAGGTCCCAGTGCCCTGGCCCTCCTATCCGATTCTCTGTGCCAAGGCTCCTGTCTCGTTCCCAGCTGCTATGACCCCCATGTGTCCCTAGAGCTTCAGCTCTTCATCTGCCCCTCTCATCCCCCTTCCAGACTTGCCCAGGCCCAGCAGTGAACATCTCTCCAGAGGTGAGTGTGGCTGTAGTCACAGTGGCTCTGCCATCTGCATCTACTGTCTTCCCCCTCCTCACCCTCCCTTCCTTCATGTGCACAGGAGGGTCCTGGAGAGACGTTTTGCTGCCCTGGGTTGGAGAACTCCAACCACCTTGGGGTGCCCAGGGCCAGAGGGCCAGCTGTCCTACCTGCGAGGCATAAGTGTCCAGTGCCTCAAACTGCCGCAGGTCCAGTGGCATGGACTTCAGGCTGGACCGGTCCCAGGGGTAGGCTGCAAATGCAGGGATACTCATTCAATAGCTGAGACCCATGGAAGGGGCCACCTGGCCCAGGCCTGGCTGTCTCTTTGAGGAGCTGTGGCTGCCGACTATTAATACAATTCCCAAAGCCTGAACACTGCTCTCAAGAGCTATTTCTCCTAGAAGGGTTCCTTAGTCAAATTAGTTTGGGAACTATGGCAACTCCTATTAGTCCTCTTGGAGATCTGCAGGGAACATAAACCTATTTACCTATTTACCTGGGAAGTCAGCAGAAAATAACTGGCTTAATGTCAGTTAACCCAGCAGTCCCCGGACATATGGATGATGGAATCTCCTTCTCCCCATCATTTAGTTTTCTGCAGATTCCCTGTTATTTTTTTCCAGGAATGAGTGCTTGCTCTATGGGAAGTGTCCAGGCAGTGCTGCTAGTCCCTGACAAGCTCAAGGAAGGAGGGTCTGTGCGATGGCCTTGGTGTTGGGTTGGAGGCAGCACAGAACACTACCGTGGGTGTAGGAGGAGGGCTTGGCGAGGCTGGGCCACCTGGGTCTTCTAGGGTGAAGTGTATTTGGCACCCACATAGGTTTCCTCCCTTGCCCATGGTCAGCTGAGACCAGAGCACCTCAAGAAAACCAGCTGTGGGTGGTGGTGTTCTGGTAATAGGCCCCTGAGGGACCTCTGGGCTGGGAGAGGGAGATGTGCTGGTGGGGCCCCCCGGGAACAGCAGGAAGCTTGGGAAGAGCAGAGTGATGTGAGACAGTGCCCTGCACGGGCACTGCAGGGCTGCACGGGCCTGTGCTCCAGCCTGGGCCTGGCCTCCCCCTCACTGGGGGCTCTGAACCACCATCTAGCCTCAAGGGCACACCTATGGAACTCCTGGGAGCATGGATGAGATGGTGGATCATGTTGTGAGGCTAGTGTCCCACTGCTGTCTGGGAGGGGGAAGGGTGTGGGGCTCCTCTGTAGGAATTGCAGGAGCAGGGGTATGTGGCCTCCGTGCCCAGTGGGGTGGGGGTGCAGCTCATTTACCCACACTTCCCTCAGGACTGCCCTTGACTGTGAGGGCCCCTTACTTTGGTCCCACAGACCCAAGAGATGTGACGAGAGGGTGGGGAGGGTTGTGTCACCTTTGGCCCTGGCCCCAGCTGCTCCATGACCCTCTTCTGTTGAGAAGCAATGCCAGCTTGTCAGGGAGTTGGCCAGTGTCTGAACCCCGGGCCTCCAGTCCAGGTTAGCTGTCAGGAGTAGGACACATGGATCCTTCTGCACTTCCCCACTGCTCCACAGTCCCCTCCTGTTAGGAACCAGGCCTTCTTCCTTCTCAACCCCAGACTGAATCCAGCACATTCTCCAAGGCCACCTCACGCTGCTCCCTCCCTCACACTGCAGCCCTGGGGGGTTGGTCCCTTCAACCAGAAGCCTCTGACTGAGTCCTGGTCATGTCACTTGCTCTGACAGCTCCAGGATGTGAGGCTGTTCCTTTCCAGGGGAGGGTCAGGAGTATGGGGGGTGGGTGGGCTGTGCAAGCCTCACCCAGCAGCCAACCCTTCTTTTCTCCACTCTTCTGCTCCTCATCCTGGACTCCTCCTAAGCCTTTTATGCTGCACAATCTTACATTAGAACTCCCTTGAGGCCCAACACTGTTCAGACCACACTTACTGCTCTGGTGCTGGAGCTGACGTTTCTTGCCTGGCCAACATCACTTAGGTCACATCAACCCCAGCCTGTGTGGGCCAAGTGCACCCATCCCCCAGCCAGCCAGTCCCTCGGGGGTGGGGGGGTGGGGATACCTGGCCCCTGCTGAGTCCCCACTTCCCAGTGCCTTCTTCCCCCACTGAGTCTGACTTCTGCCATCCTCTGACAAGAGCCATCAGGGAGCCCTAAGTGGATATGAAGTGACTCGCACATTTAACAGGTTTCCACCCAGTATAGCCCTGCAAAGGAGGACTCCCCTTCCCCCATTTCAAAGAGAGATGGCATTTCTAAAAAGGGATCGAAAACTCTGTTACTAGTCTCCTCCTTTCTTGGTTCCATTTTACAATATCTGAACATTAAAAATACCCATAATGATTTATGCCTCATTAAATCTACCTTCTGAGCAGATTATATAAGATCCAAATATGATTTTGCATACATATATTTAAAATACCAGTGGCATTAACTAAATTATTCTAATTTGAAAGCAAAATAATGGGAAGAAGTGATGAACTGTATCGAGCCTTAGAGCCACCTGGTCTACAGAGAGGGAAACTGAGGCCCAGGGAAGGCAAGTGAGGGGCAAAGCAGGATTTTATCTTAGACTGTCTGTCACCCCCTTCGGTGTTGCTTCCTCTGCCTCCCTCTGCCTATTCACACGCCTCCTATCTTACAGACATTTGGCATTTCACTTAAAGTTAACATGATTCTGAATTCTGTTTTTAGTGATTCCCCTAATGGGCTGCCTTGTTATCGGTGGGGTTGATGCTTTAGCGTTAGGATGGCGTCTGCTGTATGAGCTCTTTCTTTCTCCACTTGTGTCATGGCAGACATTGCTAATCAATCATGACGCTCTTCCCCCCGAACCCAGAGGTGGCCCCTGACTCTCAGCACAGTGCTCCAGGAAGCCATTGCCAATAGATTGGAGATTGGCTCACGAGACTAAAGCCATCTGCTGTCTTGAGAATGGCCCTGGAGAAGGCCCTGGAACTTACCATGAGCATCTTTCCCTCCAGGCTGCCGGGGTCTTGTGTTTCCATTTTTATCGCCTTGTAAACCTACAATATCCCAAAGATCAGAGGTAGAGACACTTGAGAAGATACAGAAATGCCAGCATGGACCATTCTCTGTGTGGTGTTCCTTGCTTCTGACGCCTCCTCTTCACTCTCTTTCCATAGCCTCTTTGCTCCCATCCCACCCAGCACTGAATTGCTGCTGGAATTGCTGTGAACTTCCTGGGGGGCACTGGGGAGACCGGAACCAGGGAGTGGATGACAAGAAAGGGAGCTGCAGTCTGCGAGCAGAGGTAGGCCCTGCTTCGACCTCACACTCTGGATTATCCAGTGGTCCTGCCTGGAGCCTGGTGCTCCTGCCCTCCTCTGAGTCCTCCTAGCATCCTGGAAGGCAGCCAGGGCTGCTGGGAGCACTGAACGATTCCCTGCGGCCAGATAACCCCAGGATGAGAACTGACCAGGGGTAAAAATGAAAATGGGGCTGGGGGTGTGGGGAAGGCTATTTACACAGAGCTTGAAAGCCAGAAAGGTCAAGTCATTATGGATGCAGGACTGTTAGGCAGAATGGTAGGCAATAGTTATTAGACTCCATGGGCAAAGGAGACGAGCTTTTCCTGCTGATTTAAAACCAGGTCAGGAAGATGGGGGTCCCAGCTGGAACAGGCTGACATTGGGGGTGGGGATGCCAAGGCAGGTGGTTTTATGCCCTGGAAGGCCGTGTTAGGCTGAAAGTATAGCAGAAGATTGCAAATGTACACAGGCCATTCTGAGAAACAGAGCTCCTTTTGTTTCTCACACCTACGTTTTGTTTCTACCTACACTCTTTGATAGAACGATGGGAGTTCAAATAGCAGCTAGCATTTATTGCGTACTTTCTGTGTCTGGCCTGGGCTTCATATTGACCACCTCATTTAAGCCCACAACAAAACTACAAGGGAGATTTATTTATTTTCCTCCTTTTGCAGGTGAAGAAACTGAGTCCAAACGAGAGGTCAAGCCACTTGCTGGAAGTCACAGCTGAGATGTGAAGCCAGCCAGTTGACCCCAATGCCTGCCCTCTCTTCAATGGACCACCCTCCTGAGACCCTGACTGCTGAGGACTGCAGGGCCAGATAGCCTTGGAGGACTTTGGCCACTGAGAGGACATGGAGAGGACTGGAGCCTCAGCTGTTCTGTAGCCTCCATTCCTCAGCTTGCATTCCTCCCAGGCCTCTGTGCAGCCATGAGATGGACCGATGCAGGGAGCAGGCTGAGAAGAGAGTGGTGGAGACAGCATGGGCCTGGGCCTGTGACCCTGCACCGAGGACAGCGAGGTGTGGTGGTCAGGACCACAGGCCTCTGAGTCAGATCCAGGTTCTGACCCAGCTCCTAGCCAGCTGACTTGGGTGGTCATTTCACCTCTCAAGCCTCACTTTCTAATCTAGAGAGTGGGGAAGATACTTGTATTATGTCAATGAGTTAAAAAGTTAATGAATGTAAGGCGCTTAGCCCTGGGCACACCAGTTTTTAAGCAGCCAACAAATGGCATCTAAATACAATGGTAGCCACGTACTTGCGATGAAATGCATCTTCAGCTAAACGCCCTGTGTCCCCCATGCCTGGTTCCAGAGACATAGAAGCGGTGGTGGCTGGATGTGGAGAGTCTCCCAGGAGGAAGCTGTGCTGCCTTGTACTTGCGATGAAATGCATCTTCAGCTAAACGCCCTGTGTCCCCCATGCCTGGTTCCGGAGACATAGAAGCGGTGGTGGCTGGATGTGGAGAGTCTCCCAGGAGGAAGCTGTGCTGCCTTTGCCTTTTTCGAGTTTGTAGGCCCATGTCACTCCTCCTCTGCCTTTGGAAGATGCCCATGCTGGGATCTGGCCCACCCAGCTGCCCTCCTTGCCAGCCCTCCACCATGAGCAGGCCTGTACGTACGTACGTTTAGCCAAGGAGAACTTCTTGAGCAGCTGGGGCATGGCGTCTTGGGGGTGGACCTCCACAGTCAGCTGCGTCCCTGCAAAGGAAGAGGAGGTAAATTTTCAGCTGGATGCTGCCAGGAAAGGGTGCAACATCCCATGACGATGTTTGAACAACAAAACACAATGGCTTTAGAGCTTTCTTTTGAATATACCAGTAATTCTTGTTTTTTAAAAAACCAAAACCGAAACAAACCAAGCAGACAGTTCCTAGATTCAGGCAAGATGGAGTAAGCCTACTCCAGCCTGCTTCTCCCACTGAATGCAACTATAAAACCTGGACAGATGCATGGGGCAACCATTTGAGGGCTCTGCGAAGTAAATGATAGAAGGCAGATTGGTGACGAAACCAGAATTTAAAGTATCACCAAGTTGGCCGTGAGCTCACCCTAGACTGTACTCAAAGGCATCCCCAAACCCAAAAGTCACAATGCATACATAGAAAAAGCACCCAAGAGAAACCATCTCTTTCTGACCTTAGGTGTGAGAAAGGGGACACCTAAGAATGAGAGAGAGCGCAAGGGAAATCCCCTGCTGTTTTTCTCCTGTTATTTCCTGACTCAGCCCCCAGGCAATTCTGTGGATAGCAGTGGCAGCAGTGGCTAGGCAGGCATCCGAGACTTTGAGGTGGGGATAACTCTTTTCTCCTACCAGAGAGGCTATGATCCTAAGAGTGTGGGGGCAAATACTCATTTTTTTCTCTCTCTGTTTTCTGCTGATTGGCGCCAGATACAGACAGAGTTGTGGGAAGTACATGGCAGAACAAGGAAATTAGAGCCCCAGCTTTTTGGCTGCAGGACCAGGAAGTGGATCAGGAAGAGGAGGGAGCTCAAGAGAGCAATTCCATAAAGTTATAGATGAACTGCTGTGGTCACCTCTGAGCTGTGCATGCACAGATCTCATCCTAAACATCATAGAACAGTCTTTGAGAACTAAACTATGGAGTAGACCAATGCCCAGGTCCCAGATTGCCCACTGGGTGGTGCACATGCAGGGCATATCTATATAGCACTGCAAAGGCTACAATCCAAAATTACTCATCATAGATAGACCCAGGAAAATCCCAATTTGAAAAGGAAAAGACAATCAACAGATGCCAACCCCATAATGACACAGATTTTGGAATGATCAAAGCTTTAAAACAGCCATGATAACCATGCTCCAAAAAGTGAGGGCAAACAATTTTGAAAACTAATGGAAAGATACAAAGTATCAGCAAAATATTAGAAGATATAAAAAAGAAACAAGTGAATATTTTAGAACTGAAAAATATAATAGTTTACAAATTCTCTGGATATGCTCAATAGCAAAATGGAGATGACAGAAGAAAGAGTCAGCAAACTTGAAGATAGATCAATAGACATTATCCAGTTTGAAAACAGAAAAAGTGAATAATACCTCAAGGATCTGTAGGACAAATACCTAATTGAAGTCTTGAAAGGAGAGGAGAAATAGAGTGGCACAGAAAGAATATTTGAGGAAATAACAAGAACTTTCAAAATTTAGTAAAAGACATAAACTTACAGATTCAAGATGCTCAACAAATCCCAAATAGGATAAACATAAGGAAATCCAAGTCCAGACATATTATAATCAAACTATTGAATACAAGAAAAAAATCTTTAAAGTAGCCAGTTAAAAGTGATATATATAGAATTGCTGCAGATTTCTCATCAGAGGGATGTGGAACAACATTTTCAAAGCACTGAAAGAAATAAACTGTCAACACAGAATTCTATATCCAGTAAAAATATCATTTAAGAATGAAGGTAAAATAAAGACACTCTTAGATAAAGTAAAACCAAGAAAATTTGTTACCAACAGACTCACTTCAAAAGAAATGTTAATGGAAGTTCTTCTAATGGAAGAGAAATGGTACCAGAGGAAAACTTGGAAGAGGAACAGAAATGGTAAATATCTAGGTAAATATATTACTCTATTCTCCTCTTAAGTTCTTTAAAATATGAATGATGGTTGAAAGCAATAATTATCACATTTTCTGATAGCTTTTCAATATATGTAGATATAAAATATGACAACAACTACATAAAGTGGGAGAGTAAAGATACCTATATGAAGGCAAAGTTTCCTCATACTACTTGAAATAATAATATTAATTATAATTAGACTGTAAAAAATTAAGTATGTATATCATAATACATATTAAAAGATCTATACAAAGAGATATAGTGAAAAACAATAGATAAATTTAAATGTAATTCTGAAAGGTATAAAAATAAAGAGAGCAGGAAAGGGGAAACAGGAACAAATAGAAAACAAATAAAAAGTAGAAGATCTGAATCCAAATGTATTAATAAGTACAGTAAGTATAAATGGTCTAAACACACTAATTAAAAATAGAGATTGTCAGAAAGGGTAAACAAGACTATATTCTGCTTCCAAGGATCCAACTTTAACTATTGAGGTATAGGTTGGTTAAAAGTAAAAAAAAAAAATGAATAAATAACAGAGATCTGAGTTGCTATATTAATATCAGACCAAGTAAATTTCAGAGGAAGGAAAATATTGGAGATAGAGGAATACTACACAATGGTAAATGAGTCAATTCACCAAGAAAACATAACAGTCATAGGTATGTATGTATCTAACCACAAGGGGCTGGCTGGTTAGCTCAGTTGACTACAGTGTCATGCTGACAACACCAAGGTCCAGGCCCAAGGTTTGATACCTGTACTGGCCAGCCACCAAAAAAACCCCCAAAAAACCAAAAAACCAAAAATATCACCAACCAACAAAAACAACAAAAGTTTTAAAATACATGAAAGCAGAACTGAACAGAGGAATGGACAAATCTACAATTTATAGTTAGAGATTTCACCACTCCTCTCTCAGTAATTGTCAGATTTAATAGGGAGGAAATCAGCAAATATATAAAAAGAATTGTACAACACTATCAACTAACAGGATTTATTTGCTCTTTATAAAATACTCCATTCAGTAACAGCAGAATATACATTCATTTCATTCATTTCCCATAGAATATTCACCAAAATAGGCTATATCCTGGGTCATAAAACAAACCTTAAAAACTTTAAAAACTGAAATCATACAAAGTTGTTCTCCGAACATAATGGAATTAAACTAGAACTAAAAAAACAGAAAGTAACTGGAAAATATCCAAACAGTTGAAAATTAAGTAACTTACTTCCAAATAATTCACAGATCAAAGAAGAAGCATCAAGGAAAATTAGAAAATATTCAAACTCAGCAAAAATGAAAATACAATATATCAAAATGTATGAGATGAATCCAAAGCTGTACTTCAAGTGAAATCTGCAGCATTAAATTTTTATATCAGAAAAGAAGAAAGGTCTCAAATCAACAATTTAAGCTTTTACCTTAAGAAGGTAGAGAAGTAAAAGAAAATTAAATCTAAAGCAAGCAGAAAAAAGGAAATGATAAAGATAAGTGAATAAAACAGTGAAATTAAAAACAATAACAATAGAGAATAATTGAGAAAACCAAAAACCGGTTCTTTGAAAAGATCAGTACAATTGATAAACCTTTAGCTAGAATGAACAAGAAAAAA